CATATGGTTTTACATTCCTACCAGCAGCATATGAGGGTTCCAATTTCTCCACATCCTTGCCAACATTATTATCTGACACTTTCTAGTCACCCTTTTGGGTGTGAAGTGGTATCTCACTGTTGTTTTTATTTACATTTAGCGAGTATTGGCCATTTGCATATCTTCCTTGGGAAAATGTCTATTCAGATCCTTTGCCAAGTTTGAAATTAGGTTGCCTTTTTATTGAATTACAATTTCTTAATATATTTTAAATACAAATCCCTTATCAGATACATGAATTGCAGGTATTTTCTCCCATTGTGTAGGTTGTTTTTTTCACTGATTTTAACATGGGCAAATTATGGCTATTAATTTCCTTCTGGTTATTATTTTGACTCTATAAGCTTTGGTATGTTCTGTTTTAGTATTTTTGTTGTTTTGTATTCATTCTCATTCATCTCAAAGTATATTCCCTCGTATGTGATGAGTCACTTCTGTCTGACTTTCAAAATTTTCCCTTTATTTTCTGCTTAGGATATATAGTATGGTCTGTCGCTCAGTCATGTCTGACTCTTTGTGACCTTTTGGATTGTAGCCCCCCAGGCTCCTTTGCCCATAGGATTTCCCAGGCAAGAATACTGGAGTGGGTTGCCATTCCCTCTTCCAAGGGATCTTCCCCACCCAGGGATTGAACCTGGGTTTCCTGCATTGCAGGCGAATTCTTTACTGCTGAGCTACCAGGAAAGACTTTGTCTTCTGAGAGTTTGATTATAATGTGTCTGACTTTATCCTACTGGTTGGTTGTTGAGCTCCTTGATGTGTAGATTAGTATTTGTCATCAAATATGCAAAGTTTTCATCCATTGTTTATCCTTTCACCCTTTCTGTCCTCATGTCTGTGCTGTATGGTATCTCACAGGTCTCTGAGCCTATTAATTTTTCTTCATCTTCCTTTCTATTCCTTGGATAGGTTAGTTTCTATGGACCTATCTTCAAGTTTGTTGATTTTTTTCTGCGTGGTTATATCTGCTGAGCCCCTCTAGTGAAATTTTTTTTTTAATTAATTAATTAATTAATTAATTAATTTATTTTTTACATGTATTCCCCATCCCGGTCCCCCCTCCCACCTCCCTCTCCACCCAATCCCTCTGGGTCTTCCCAGTGCACCAGGCCCGAGCACTTGTCTCATGCACCCAACCTGGGCTGGTGATCTGTTTCACCCTAGATAATATACGTGTTTCGATGCTGTTCTCTTGAAACATCCCACCCTCGCCTTCTCCCAGAGTCCACAAGTCTGTTCTATACATAGGAGTCTCTTTTTCTGTTTTGCACATAGGGTTATCGTTACCATCTTTCTAAATTCCACATATATGTGTTAGTATACTGTAATGGTCTTTATCTTTCTGGCTTACTTCGCTCTGTATAATGGGCTCCAGTTTCATCCATCTCATTAGAACTGATTCAAATGAATTCTTTTTAATGGCTGAGTAATATTCCATGGTGTATATGTACCACAGCTTCCTCATCCATTCGTCTGCTGATGGGCATCTAGGTTGCTTCCATGTCCTGGCTATTATAAACAGTGCTGCGATGAACATTGGGGTACACGTGTCTCTTTCTCTAGTGAAATTTTTATCTCAGTTATTATACATTTCAACTCTAGAATTTCCATTTGGTTCCCTTCTGTAAGTTCTGTCTCTTTGCTGGTATTCTCTATTTGGTGAGACACTATTTTTATTCTTTCCTCTGGTTCTTTGGACATGGTTTCCTTTAGTTCCTTGAACATATTTTAAATAGCTGACTTAAAATCTGGTACTGTTGTTGTTGTTCAGTCACTTGGTCCTGTCAGACTCTTTGCCACCCCATGGACTGCAGCATGTGAGTCTTCCCTGTCCGTCACTATATCCTGGAGTTTATCAAACTTATGTCCATTGAGTCGATGATGCCATCCAACCATCTCATCCTCTGTCACCCCCTTCTCTTCCTGACATCAATCTATCCCAGCATCAGGGTCTTTTCTAATGAGTCGGTTCTTTGCATAAGGTGGCCAAAGTATTGGAACTTCAGCTTCAGCATCGATCCTTCCAATGAATATTCAGGGTTGATTTCCTTTCAGATTGACTGGTTTAATCTCCTTGCAGTCCCAAGAATCTTCTTTAGCACCACAGTTAGAAAGCATCATTTCTTCAGGGTTCAGCCTGCTTTATGGTCCAACTCTCACATCCACCCATGACTACTGGAAAAACCATAGCTTTGACTATATGTACCTTTGTTAGCAAGTGATATCTCTGCTTTTTAATATGCTGTCTAGCCCCGAGACAATATCTGGTACTAGGGTAAGTTAAAAATTCTACAAAGCTTACTGTTCTTACCAACACTCTACTGTCTTTCTTGACTGAGCACTCTCTGGGTTACTGGAAGCCTTTGGTTAATTTCCAGAGTTTAAAGCTAATTCTGATTATATATGGCAGATTTTTCATTGCTTTTATAGAATGAGAAACTTTCAGTGGTTCTTACTGGACCACTTTTTTGACCCTTTGCTTGGATTTTGATCCAAATAAACTATAGAAAAATACTTTAGAGACAACCGGTGGGAGTTCCCTGGGGGCCTAGTGGTTAGGATTCCGGGCTTTCACTGCCATAGCCTGGGTTCAATCTCTGGTCAGAGAACTGTGATCCTTCAAGCTGCATGGTGTGGCCAAAAACAAAAAAGCAAAAAGCCCCTAAAAAACCACATTTGGCAAAAACTGAACACAGACTGATCATCAGATTAAAATTTTTATAAAGGACACATCTTTTCAAGGCCCTATGATCAGTTAGAGCTACACAGTGGTGTTTACAGTTTTCTTTGATTTGCTCTCAAATATTCCAGCTCACACGCAAAAAAGTATGTGTGGGATGAGAGATATGAAACAATGGCACAGGTTGATGGTTGTTGGATCCAGGTGATAGGTACATGAAGGTTTAATTACCAGCTTATTTTTATTAAAAAAATTTCCATAATAAAAAGTTTTTTTAAAAAAACAGAAGGGGTACCCTTGGGTTCAAACAAGGCTGAACTTGGTAAAAATAACTGATCCCCAAACTGGCCTTTGGTGAAAGGCAGTAAAACAATGTCGTAGAAGACAGGCACACTGCGTGTTGAGAGAATAAAGGCTAAAGCTATAGTATTGATCAGGTACCTCAGGATAAAGTTATATAGCAAGTAAAAACTATCTCTGGGTCTGGAAGGGCACAGTAATCAACTGGTCAAATCCAGGCTGATCCCTGGCCCCAAGTCCCAAGTCTGTTGTTCTCAACCACTATACACCACATCCCAGGGTGGTGGAAAAGATTTCTTTCCTGGGACTGGCAAAAGAAGTATTCCTGCTCAGACCATTCCATTTGGCTCAAACAGCACTATGACCAAGAGCTAGAGCTGACAGATGCAGACCTCAGAGGGCAGAGGCCTGGGCTAAGTAGGTGTTGGTCCTACTGAGTGACCCACAGCCTCAAGACATCAACTGGGAAAAGGGAGCTTCCCGTGATGACCCAGGGCTCCAGAGATGTTAAATTACACTATAAAATGCACATTTGAGAGTTCTTTCCACCATACTCTAAACATAAGGACCTCACACCCCTGAGGAAGGGAACATGGGAGAGCCCCCAGAAGAGTTCCTACAGGGAGGACCACGCAAAGCCTGGGGCCTGGGTGCCCCAGTGTGTGCTCCAAAGCACAAGGAGAAGGTACCTCGCCTGCTCTGCTGCCCCTTTCCAAAGGGGAACAAGAGCCACCACGGAAGACAGGCGCCCTGAGGCCTTAGCTAAAGAGAGAGCTTGGGACGGAGGAACCGAAGTCAAGAACCAGCTGTTCCGTGGATACCCCTTTCCCTAGGAGGAGGAGCAGGAAATGCTACATGTCACAAAGAGAGCCCCTGGACCTTTCTCTGGACACAGCTGAAGGTCTGAAAAGTCCTCTCAGCCAAGTTAGGAGAGGACAAGCTAAGGGGGGCGCTGGGAGCACTGATGGGCAGAGGGCAGGCTGTGTGGGCCCTGTGGGGGAGAGGCAGAGCTCACTGCCCTCGGCTGCTCCCAGCCCGGCGCGCCACTGACTGAAGGCCTGTCGAAAGGGGAAGGGCGCCCGAAAGACGCCCTGGGCAATAACGCGGCGTCCCTCAGCAGACCAGGGTCTTTCCCTGTGCCGCCGAGGGGGCCGCTGAGCGTGGTCCCGGCAGGCAGGCCCTGTACATCTGGACCGGGTGGGGGAGAGGGCCCGGGACATCACTAGCCAGCCGCACTGTGTGGTCACCACCACGATGCTGGGTGGGGCAGGGATGGCCTGGGGTGGGAGGCAAGCCTGGCATAGTCAGAAGTACAATCTGCTGGTCGCTGTGGAGGGAGGGGCCGGAAGATGCCATATGTCTTCCCTGTGAGGCGAAATCTGAAACCAGCACCTTGTGTCGTGCTCCCCAGAGTCCCTACCTGAAGGTGCCCATGGCCCAGCTCCACGTTGCAACTACTTGACAGAAGAACAGCTTTATTGGTGACCCGAAGGAGCCAAGGTCAATCCCAGGCCGTGTCAGCCCGCAAGGCCTTCTCCGGGCAGGAAAGTCAATCACATAATTCATGGGGGTTCCTGACAAGAGATCAGAGCTCCACTCCTAATTACAAGAAAAATTCCCAAAATTCCTGATTTCAGAGTCAACAAACAGAAGGTCCGAGGCTCGGGTCCTGACAGATCCTCGTGTCCCTGCCTGTCCCCACAGGGGAGGCTGACCGAGCTGCTCAGCGATATCTGTAGGGCTGTGCAGACATAGAGGCCCACAAAGCCACAGGAAGTCTCCCCGAGACAAGCTTCCTGGAGAGTTCACGCTCCGGCAGGGCGCGGGACCTGGCCCTCAGCTTGCACCCCAAGTCTGATGAGGTCGGGTCGCCGAGCGGGCCTGGGTAGCAGAGAACCCCACTGCACTGGCCCTCAGCACATGGACCCTCTGTGGTCCAGGCTCGGTGGTGCCGCCACAGCATGTCACTGGCCCCAGCCCCTCAGTGCTGGGGTATCCCCAGCTTCCTGATGGGGTACAGGTACCACATCACAACCCCCGAAGGGTTGATGATCACAGTGAAGTTGGTTTTATCCTGGAGGCCACTGATGATGTCACCCGTGTAGACGTCCTGGGCCTGCAGGGGGAGGACAGCACCAATGCCACCCTAAGAATGGCTGCATGGACTCCACCCCACCCCGCAGAGGATGTAAATGTCTGGACTGTGGCCTGTCTGTGTGGAGCCTCCAGTTTGCCCTACAGGAAGTGGGAGCGTGAACCCCCAATCACGTCCCCTCTGGCAAAGCCAAGCGGTGCCCAAGCACAGATGGGGGTGAGAACCCGAGAAACGTGCAAGCAAGAGCGAAGAGGGGAGCCCACGGCCTCGGGGGTTGGCAGGACTCGGTTGCGCACAGCACTGCATCTGTGTAGCTTGAAAACACCGGAGCAGGGAGCTGCGCCAGCCGGAGGACCCACAGCTCAGCGGGGCAGGTGTGTGAGAGGACAGCAGCGCCCCCAGGGGTGCCCGAAGTCCCGAGATGGCAGAGCACTCACCTCATACACCATGGAGCTGCTGAAGTTCAGGCGGGCGAGGGAGGAATGGTAGTGATAAGGCATGTCCATCCTGCGGCTGAAGAAGACGATGGCGCTGGCCTCACTGGCCAGGGGCCGCAAGTACACTTCAATGTGGGATTTCTCCTGGGCACGGAAGATGGCTCACTGGCTGGGGGCCCTGCTCAGCAGGCCCCGAAGCCCCCTTCCCAGCCCTCCCTTGAGCTCTGGGTCCCACCAGCCCACAGGAGCTTAGAGGGGAAAACACAGCCCTCCAGCACCAACTCCTCCAACTCCACCTTCCTTCCTCCTTTCTTTCTCTTTCTTCCCTTCTTCTTTCCTTTCCTTCCCTGACTCAACAGACGCTCCTGGACACTTCCTCTGTGCCAGGTCCCCTGTCTGGACGCGACAAATGCTGCCTGAGGTCCTAACGTTGGAGTGCTCACAGGGTAACAGGAGTGACACCCGTGGACAGCCCTGGCACTAGACCGGGGGGCACTGCCCAGTGGGCATGACGAGCTCTGCCCCAAGGAGCCAAGAGGGGCAGGCCCCATCCTCCAGAGGGTCTCCGGGCCTGCTCCACCGTCGGCCCCTCTGCAGGGTCAGACGCCTCCTCTGGGCATCACCGGCTCGACGGGTGCCTTCTAGAGTGCTGGAGACTCCTCTTCACTAGAGGGGCAAGGGTTCTGCGCAGAGAGCACAAGCTTGGAGGCGATGCTGCCGGCCTCTAGTCCTGCTGTGCCACTTACCAACTGTGTGGCCTTGGGACAAAGTCATCGAGACTCTTTAAGTTTCCTTATTTGTAAAACCAGGAAGGAGCATCTACCTTCTGAGAAAATGTGTCTAGAATGCCTAGCACACAGCAGGTGCTCAAAAACTAGTAAACGCTGCTACTAGGACTTAGTTATACTCCTTGGTTCCAGCAACTCCTAAACTCTAAGGTAAGCCCCAGCTCTCTGCCAGACATCACAGACTTGTGCGGACGTCTTGTATTAATACTTCCAAGCCAGGGGGCCACGCTGTTCCCACATGCGCTTGTGGTGGTCTCCCTTCCCCCAGCCCCATGAGCTGTCCTGCTCTGGCCCTGCGATTATCCGGCTAAGTAGGGACAGTCAGAGCAACTGCCAGTACAGCCTCCGGCTGAATGCAACCGGGAGGGACTGAGTGGATTACAGAGACCCCGGTCCCGACCCCTTAACCTCCAGCCTGCAGCCTTGTTTTCAGGGAAGCCCAGTCTCTCAGCCTCACCCCCTTCCCTGCTCCCATACCCCAGTACCCTAAGAATCCTGCGTCCCTGGATGCCTAAGGGATCCTGGTTGATTTTGATCATGAGTGGATTCTGCAGGATGTCTATGTCCTGGGCAGAGATGGTGCGCAGGTCCGTGGACATGAACAGGGGGGCCGCCAGCACCGTCCACAGGGCCATCTGGGCTCGGGCTTGCTCGAAGCTGAGGCCAAAGTTCCCGATGAGCAACTGGGGGTAGGAGAGAGGAGTGCTCAGCTCTGCCCTCCACAGAGCAGTGGGCATGGGGACCAACCCTAAATTTTTGTAGCTAGACAAGAGAGATGGGGAAGACAGCCAGGTATGGGCCCTAGTTCTGCCAACACCGTTCCCTGGCACTGTGGCTTTGGGGTGGGTCAAACCACTTTTCAGAGCCTCAGTGTTTTTTTTCCTACCAAGAGTGTAGGGGTGATAATATGCTCTGACCATGTCACAGGTTGTTGAAAGGATCCAATAAATCTTCCTGCCGAAGGCATTTATAAACTGGAACATGAAAGAAATACAGCCAGGGTGGTAGGAAGTCAGACCTGAACAATGTCTGCTCCTGCCATTAGCTACCCACCTGCCCTAAAGATAGTTGCACCAATGGGCACTCCTGCCCCCAGGGCAACCAGTATACTGATAGGACACAAGCGATTATTGCTAACTCAACACTGTTGTGTACTTAATGAGACCAATTTAGTTACACACTGCATATGTGCCAAATGGAGCCAAGCATTTAAACGATCATCCTTTTGGGGACTTCCCTGGTGGTCAGTGGTTAAGACTCCACACTTCCACTGCAGGGAAAACGGGTTCAATCCCTGGGCGGAGAACTAAGATTCTGCATGCCATGTGGCAGGACCAAAAAATAAAAGTACTTGGCCTTGGGCCTAGCGCTTAGTAGGTCAGTGAACGTCAGCTCCTCCCTAACCCCTGGGGAGCTGAGTCCTGTTTACAATAACAGACATGCACTGGCCTAGAAAAATTAAAATAAAGGGTCATCCTTTTAACCCTCAAAACAACCTTATTAGAGGAGCTCCTATTATTATTTCAATTTTCCAAATGACAAAGCTGAGGCATAGAAAAGATGAAGTCAAGTGCCCAAGGTAAGTGGCAGAGCTGGAGCTCAAACTGTATAAAGTAGGTCCATTTCTCACCCTCTCCACCTGGCCTGGTATTTGTAATCATTATAACCATCACTGGGGGTAAATACTTGGTGACTAAGTGAAGAGAGAGCTATAAAACTGTAGGGAAAATTGCAAGGGAATTTAAGTGGTCAGGGCTATGAGTGAGGTAGGTATGAGGGGCCAGTTCTGCCTGTGGAGGGAACAGCACAGAGCGTTGAGGAGGGGCTCAGAGGCAGACCGGGCGAAGACAGTCTAGGGACGGAATGACAGGAGAGTGGGGGCTCACGGTGCTCACCACCCTATGGAGGGATGATGCACCACAGTCACTCCAGACCAAGTTCTCAAGTTTCAGGAAACATCAGAACTGTCTGGGAAGACTGTTAACAATGGGCATTCCCAGGCCCTCCCTGAACATTCTGATCCAAGAGGTGGGGGTGGGGCCCTGGGAAAAGAATGGTAAGCAAGCGCCCAGGGCATGTCCTACATGGTGGTTCAAGGACACGCTTCAGGGGTGCTGAGCTAGAGCCTGGCAAAGAGCATCCAGGAAGACAGCACGGGGCCCGGGGCCTCAGGCCAGCCCCCTCCATGTTAGTACCATGTCTGGGTCGTTCCAGTGCCCCGGGCCGGCCACCGGCTGCAGCACATCCTGGTGGATCACAAACCAGTCCAGGATGGACAGCACGCTCCTCCAGGAGTCCTGGATGTCATCAAAGTTGCGCCAGAGGTTGCAGATGTCTGCCAGCAGGGTGTAGTTCACCTGGATTTGGGGGCAGGCAGAAAGTCCCAGGCCAGCGTCATGCTCTGTGGCCCGGAGACCGTCCAGGGGCTGGGGAGACTCAGCAGGGGACACAGAGGGTGGGAAGGGGGAAGAGATCAAGCTTTGAGCGTGCTCAGGATGAGGAAGGGCCTCGGAGGGAGCGTGCGTCCTCTGGGGCTGCCCAGGCCTCCCCTCCAGGTGTGCTGCTTGCTGGAAACTGACCCTTCCCTCTCATGTCGGCGGGGACCAAGCCCAGGGTATAGAAACCCAGGCTGGGGTCCCCAGAGCCGTTCTCCCACACGCCCACCCCGTGTTCTCTCAGGGAGAATCCCACCCTCCATCAGGGTTCTCCCTCCAGTCTGCACGTCTGATTCCACCCTTTCCAGCGGGCCCTGGGCGAGGTGCCCACGAGGGCTTTTGGAGGCTAGGCCCCACCTGCCTGGCTTCACTGGTCTTCGTGCCCTCCAAGCCCACTCAGTACCACCCAGGATTCTGCCTGCTTGCAGCGGTGCCATGTCAGCACCTGACACACGGCTCCCACGCCCTTCAACCCACCTGACAACTGTCTCCTCTAAGACCGTGGGATGGCTCAGGCCCCTCAGGTACTTATGACCCTCCTACGAATCAGCATGTGAGCGACTAGGACAACAGCAGCTGTGGCTGCACAGAAGGCAAGAAGGCCTGGGTACGGGGAGCACTGCCAGGTGGGTGCAGAGAATGGCTCACCTTTGGGGGGAGGCCCCCTTCGTAGGCTGGCCAACTGCAGGAGAAGGCGATGGGGCGGCCTGTGGCATTCAGGGCAGCGGCCATCTTGGGGTACCCTAGAGAAGTCCAACCACCATGTTTTAGGATGAAGAGACCCAAGGTGATCTCCGGCCTCAGCTCAAACCTCCCCCCACACGTGAGGAGATAATGCTCAAAAGAGGAGGGACCTCCCCTGCACCCAGAGCTGCACACACACCCTGGGCGGAGCAAGGCACCAGCCTTCTGGGAGCCAAGATACCCCTAGGCCCTGGGGGAGAGGAATTGGGAAACACTACCCACTAGGGGCCATGCAGACGGGCACTGAGGGGCCTTCCACGGCCACCCCTCCCTAACTAATGGCTCCCAGCCAGCTGTGGGACCCACCCTCAGCCCGCTCGTTGGGGCTTGAGTAGCAGCCATCCAGCTTCAGCATGTCCACTTTCCACTCGGCGAAGGTTTGCGCGTCCTGCACCACCTTATCTAGCGTCGTGCCCGGGTAACCCATGCAGGTGAAGTTGCCCAAGTCCTCATAGATGCCCAGCTTCAGTCCCAGGGAGTGAGCCTGGGGTGGGGAGGGGTTGAGAACACAGTGGATACCTCAGGGAACCACTCACAGACACAGCTGACCAGGCCCCATTACAACCTTCAGAGGCTCCCAAGAGCCCGGAGAGAAGGGTCGCAGCTTTCTGGCCTGGCCTCGCCTCTGCCACCATGACCCTTCCCCTCCCTCCTACACACACACCTTGCGTGGGCTGTCTCTGGCCTCTAGGCATTTCCTCCTGCCATCCCCTCTGCCTTGAATGCCCTCTCTGGGATCAGCCTCCTCCAGAGAACCTTCCTGAAATCCCAGGCTGAATAAGAGGTCCTTCCTTGCTCTTGCTCACAACCATGGCTCATAACTACCTGTTCATGTATCTATTTCCTCCACCAGACTGTTCTCAGGCAGGAATTATAGAAATGAGCCCTGAGTAGGAGGGGGTGGAAAGAATGGTCTGGCCTGCAGGCCAACGGGCAGGACAGGGCTGTGGTGGGGGGCTCACATAGTCAGCCAGGAAGGCAATGCCGTGGGGGAAGCGCTTGCGATCCGGCACCAGATTGCCCTTGGCATCACGTCCACCAATCCAGCAGTCATCGATGTTAAGGTATACGTAGCCCAGGTCCCGCCATCCATCCTGTGCCAGCCGGTCAGCCATCTCCATGAAGAGCTGCTCACTGGCAAAGGGCAGGGAAGAGGGCTGCTCAGTGGCCCAGCATGGGCCTCGCCCTAACCCCACCCCCCTTCCTCAGAAGCTTTTCAAACTTCTCAGATACTCTGAGTGTAGATCCAGCCTGTGAGTACCATGGTCTTTGCTGTCAAGCTGGAGACTAAGCCGGGCAACCAAGGGTTATGTCCTGAGCCATAAGCAGGGTGGAGCGAAAGGGGTGATTTGGCTTCCAGGCCAAGAAGCAGGACTGGGCCAGTGGGAAGCACGTGGGGTCAGACCTGATCCTTAACCGTGATCTCCTTTTCCTTATCTCAGGGGCTGGGTCCCCTACAGGCCTGAGGTCACCACAGATGTCCCCATGCTGGTCATGAGGCTGAGTGTCAGATGTCTCAAAAGTTACCTTTGGTGCTTCCTCTCAGATGGGGCGGGGGCCCTAACCCTGCCCTCTTTCTGAGCTGAGCCCCCTTCCCTGCCCCCACTTTTGTCAGGTGGTGCAGACCTGACTCACCTGATGCAGTTCTTCGGGTCCTCATTGCAGTCGATGTTGCAGCGGAAGCGTTCCCAAGCCAGCCAGCCCATGGGAGGCTTCCGCAGGAGCCCATTCTCCAGGACCAGCACCTGGGCCACCAAGGCCAGCATGAGCACTGCAGGGAGGTGGATTGTGAGTGGCTCCCACAGCCCCAGCCCTCTCCCCACCCCATCCACATGCCGCCCAGCCCCGCACTTTAGGGGAGCTAGACTCTCCAGCTTAAGGTGGAATGGGCTCTTCCTGCAACTGCTGGCTCCCACCAGGCTGTGAGTGGGTGGACAGTCCCAGGTGTAGGGCGGTGTCTGAGGCCTGGATTCCCCCTGCTGTCACCACAGCAGTGCTGGGATCACCAAAATCTAACACCTGGGGTCACAGCCTTTCTCCACCCTGACCAGCTCTACCCACTCCATTCACACAGAACTTGACAGGACACTGTAGCCAGGCTTCAGGTCTCCTGAGCCCCATCGGGGGCTCAATGTTCTCTGTAGGCACCCAAGAGGCTTCGGAAGGGCTTAAGAGGTCAGCTGGTGGGAGCAGCACTGTAGGGCCTTAATTTGATTATCTGTAAAATGGAATTTCCACACTGACTTTATAGGGCTGGTCTCAGCACACCTTGATGTTACAGAAGATAGGGTCTCTGGCTGTGAGGTAGAGGGGGTGAGCAAAGAAAAGGTCTCTTTGGAGGGGAACCGATTCTTGCGTGGGAAGGATTTCCTCTTTTCTTGGCCCACCTCCGAGAATGAGAGAGGTACATGTCTCCCCATATGCCCACATCAGGGAAGGAGGCCCAGAAACCACAGGACTGGAACTTCCTCCAGTCAGCCCCCACCCCCCAAGTGGTCACTTACCCTCCCAAAGCCACCCCCCCACCCCCGTCCGTGCAGGTACCTGTCTTCAGCAACATTGCTCTGGACTGAGCGGTCTCAGGACCTGACCAGATCTGCTCTGCTTTTACCAGCTTCCGTATGTCGGGATTTGGAAGCTAAGAAACGTTAGAAAAGCACTGAAAAAAAGAAAGAAAGAAAAGCACTGGGGTCCCTCCTGCTTGGTTAGCCCTGCCGCCCTTAACCTTGGGTGTGGATCCCACGCTGGGTGCCCAAGCCGCCCTCACAGCCCCCAATCTCTCCCCCCAGCCATCACTTCCCCAAGCCTGGGTTCTTCCGTCGGAAATACTCAACAAGGTATCGTGGACGTTAGACCTCACCTCCTCTGCCGTGCTGGGAACCCCGAGTGCCCAAGGGCGACCCTCTGCCAGGCTAGGGTCACAGAGAGGCAGCGACAGACTCGAGGACGCCCAGGAAGAATGGAGGTGGCCAGCCGGGGGCCAGGCCTCCGGACTCCCACCAGGGCTGGGTTGCCGCCCCCGCCCTCAAAGACCGCAGGCCCAGCGCCCCAGCCCAGGGATCCCACCCAGAGTCGCCCACCCTCCACAGCTTACCGACTCTTCCGCTGCGATCAGAGCCGCCGCCTGGTTCTGCCTCCCGAGTAGACTACAGCCGCAGTCACCTGATTCGTGTACAGCGTTCTAGCGGGGCGGGGCCTGACGGAAGCAAACCTTCCGGCGGAACCTATCAGAATCCCCCTAGCAACGTCCTGCCCCGCCCTACATGGGTCCAGAAAGCCCGCGGAACCTCCCAAAGCCCCTCCTCCTTCGAGCTCCGGCTCTGCGCGCTCCCGAGGCAGGCACGCGCCCACCGCACAGGGTCCCAATCTCCGCCGAGCTAGTCCTTTCACTTCTGCCGGGTCCCTTAAGGCGAGGATTCAGTTCAGTTCAGTTCAGTCGCTCAGTCATGTCTCTGCAACCCCATGGACTGCAGCACGCCAGGCCTCCCTGTCCATCACCAACCTCTCGGAGTCTACTCAAATTCATGTCCATGGAGTCGGTGATGCCATCCAACCATCTCATGCTCTGTCGTCCCCGTCTCCTCCCGCCTTCAACCTTTCCCAGCATCAGGATCTTTTCCAAGGAGTCAGTTCTTCGCATCAGGTGGTCAAAGTTTTGGAGTTTCAGCTTCAGCATCAGTCCTTCCAATGAATATTCAGGACTGATTTCCTTTAGGAAGGACTGGTTGGATCTCCCTGCCTCTCAAGAGTCTTATGGATAGGGCACTGTAGATGCTTATTTAATAGCTGTGGCATGGATACTTGCTGAGGGCTTTTTTTAAAGAAAAATGAGAGCATGTCCTGGAGTATAGCCCTTAGTAAACCGCTCAGAAACTGTAGTGGAAGATAAATAGGTGCTACGAACGGCTTTTTAAAGCCAGGAGACTCTCCTACCTTGCCTGACACTTGGGCCACCTGTTATGCTCATCCAGACACTCTGCATTCTTTCCTCTTTCATTCATCACATACCTATTGAGCAACGACTAGATACCAAACACTTTATTCTTGGCACCTTCACTTGGATGGTCAAAGGCGTCTCAAATACCTGCCAATTTCATATCTCAGGTAATGGCAACTTTCCTTCCAGATGCTCAGGCCAAATCGTTAGAGTTCTCCTTGGCTCCTCTTCCCCTCACTCCCTACATCCAGTCTCTGCAGACCGAGTACTCTCCACCTTCAAACCCCATGCTGAGGAATTTCCCTCTGGTCCGGTGGTTAAAACTCTGTACTTCCACCGCAGGGGGCGCTAGTTCCAAACTTGGCTGAGGAAGGAAGATCCTGCAGGCCCATGCAGTGCATCCAAAAAAATAATCTGGCCATCTCTACTCTCCCAGCCCCCATCATATCTTCCCCGGATTACTCCAGCATCCTCCTCACTGGTCTGCTTCCACTCACATTTTTTTCTTCTTAGCAGCCAGAGAAATCCTTAAAAACATAGCTCAAGACCTCACTCGAAGGCTTCCCTGGTGACTCAGTGGTAAAGAATCTCCCTGCCAATGCAGGAGACACGGGTTTGATCCGTGGTCCAGGAAGATTGGACATGCCGCACAGAAACTAAGCCCAGGCGCCGCAACTATTGAGCCTGTACTCTGGAGCCTGGGAACTGAACTACTGAGCCCAGGGGCTGCAACTACTGAAGCCTTCTCACCCTAGAGCCAGTGCTCATCAACGAGAAGACACGGTGATGAGAAGCCTGCACACTCCAATTAGAGAAAAGCCCCAGCAGCAATGAAGATAGAGCACAATAAACAATTATTAAAAAAAAAAAAAACCTCACTCAAGACCTGGTGATGGCTGTTCATTTCAGTCTGGAATACCAACCCTCACAGATTTACAAAGCCCCACCCCACACATTCTAACCCAGTATCCTGCGGCTCCTGCCACTCCCCAACACACACGCACACACACACACACACACACACACACTCACGCCTCCTTTCAGCTCCTCAAACACAACAGGTCTCAGAGCCATTGCACTAGCTGTTCCTTCTGCCTGGAATGCTCCTCCTTCCAGATTCTGGCATGACTGGCTCCCTCGTTTCCTTCAATTATTTCTCAAATGTCACCTAGGTGAGGCCTACCATGACCATTCTATTTAAAACTGCAACCTTCCCACCCTGGCCCCTCCACCATTCCCAGACTCCTTGTCCCTGCTCTGTATTTTCCACAGAACTTATTGCCTCCTATCTCATTTATTATGGTGTCTATTAGTAACTGAATAAAAGTTAGTGGGGGAGACAGATAATAAACAGAAAATAAAAGCATGAAATGTAGGGAACTTTTTTTTTTATATAAGTGGTTAGTGTTATCATGCAAATACAAACCAGGGATGTGGTAGAGACCTGCAGACAGGCTGCTTTCTCATGGCTGGGGAGGGGACAGGAACTGAGGCCTAAATAATGTGAAGGAGCTCGGAGGAGTTAAGAGCCTTGGGGTAGCGTTGGGAAGCAGGAGCGTTCTTGCAGGAACTGCCACGGCCAGAACTCTCTAGAGGTGACAACCAGCAAGTTCATGGGCAGATGTTCTGAGCTCACCAGGCTCCCCCGGCTGTCAGGAAAGCCTCCCCAGTGTTTGGTTGTGCACTCCTGCGTCCTTTTACCCCAGGCCTACCTGTCCACTGACCCCAGGCAGAGCCTGGGCGCTGAAGATGGGTTGCAGGCTGGCAGGAGTGAAGGGAGCAGAAATGGATAATCCCCTCCACCCCGGAAGTGGAGATCCAGCCGACTCCAGGGGGCTGGGTTGGGTGGCTAGGAAGCTGGGCTGGGCCTCGTGGACTGGATAGGAGCCCGCCCAGAGGAGGCGTCTGGGCCGAGGCCGTCCCAGACTTGGCTCTGTGCGAGAAGTGGGCCGGGCGGAGAGAGGGGGGCTGGAGAGGGGGAAAGAGAAGGTCTCGAAGTTCTTGGGAGGTGGCCTGGGTCCGAGGCCCCCGGATGGCCCGAGGTGGGACTCCGGGTTCGAGGCCGGCCACCGCCGACCAGCACTGGGCCTCACGCCGGGCACGGCCGGCCGGGCCTCAGTTTCCCCCCGGCGTGAATCGCGGGGCCTAGTGAGTCGTGGGCGGGGAGGGGTGAGGGCGGTAACTCGAGCCGCCCAGGCGGGGTCTCTCGGCTCCCGCGGCCACGTTTAGCGGCCCGGACGGACGGAGGCGTGGGGTCCGGAGTCGAAATGGCCCCGGACCACCCCGCGGGCCGCGCTCCGGGGCTTTAGGGGCGTGGAGGTGAGAGCGGGCCCGGCGGACTCGGGAGGAGGCGGCCCTGGGAAGGCGTGGCCCGCGGGGACGTGGCGGGGCCGCTCCCCGCGCGATGGGGAAACCGAGGCGGCAGCCGCGCCCTGAGTCTGCGGCTCTGGCCGCGGAGTTCCCGGTGAGGCCACCCCGTTTCTGGGCGACAGCGGGTCAGACATCCCCCCACCCCCCCACCCCACCCCCCGCCGCGGTGGCCATGGCCAGTGGGTCCCACGCCCCAGCCCGCTGCTCCTCTAACAAAAGAATCTAGAAAAATGCGGTGCAGCGTATTCCCGCCGCAGTTGAAATGCGGGCCCCGTTAACCCGGCAACCGGGTGGAGAGGAGACGCCCTTCCTCGGGGAGGGGAGACAGTTAGCTCGGCTCAGGATCTCCTCTCCGCGCCCCAGTGCTGGACGGCCGGGAGGTGAGGCCACTGCTCAAGGAACCAACCAACTGTGTTTTTCTCTTCCTTCTCCTCCGACCACCATCGGAGACCGGCCCCGCCCCCATCTCAGGACCCGGCTTGCTTCTCCATAGCCCTTATCAAGACGGGTCTTCACGTTATTGAATTGATTTTAAAAGACATTATTATTTATTTTTGTCCTTTTTTTTTTTTTTACAGTTTGCCTCCCCCTCGGAAATGTAGGCTCTAGGAAGGAGGGGCTTTATTTTGTCCACTATTGTATTCAGTTATTTTAACAAATACTTTCTGAGGGCCTCCCCAAGCCCTGCAAGGGGCTGGAACCAAGTCCATTTGGTTGGTTCTAGACATTCTGGGGCTGGGGACAGCGCTGTAAACACAAAGGAGATCATTGTGGGATGAAGGCTGCTGTTGGGTCACCTTTGATCAGACCACCTTCCTGATCAGGACCACCTTACATATAGTGATCAGGGCAGGCCTCTCAAATTAGGTTACTTAAAGACCACAGATAAACTATGTGGCAAGTACTAAAAGGGAAAAGCAACAAGCTATGTGGGCACTTAACTCTGACCTAGCCTTAGAGGGCAGGGCGCTGAGGTCCAAAGAGTGATGATCAGGACCATGGGACTCAGATCCTTAAATTGCTTTTAAGTGCTGGGCCTGGGTAGACCTGTGTGTGTATGTGTGTTTTGGGCAGGGCAGTAGATTATCAGGGGTCAGGAAAGGCTTCCTGGAGGAGGTGGTGGTTTCATTTGACCTGAGGCCGAGTAGGAGGCTGAGTAGGAGTAAATCCAATCCTTTAGGATGGATTGACTGTATTTGAGAATTCTCTTGCAGGTGTCCTGGAAACCACGCGGTCGAAGGGCTGAGCCGTGTGGCCAGACAAGAGAGGCCCCTACCCCTGCCCAGGGAGCTCTGAGGGTAAGTGGGTCACTGCCAGGACTTGCCCCCCAAAGAGGTGAGGGAATCAGGAGACCAAGCTCTGCTTCTCATTGGCCACGTGATCCTGGGAAGTTCACCTTCACCGTTCTGGTCTCAGTTTTCTGTGAGTCAGGAGAACAGTTGGATTATATGCCACTTGTGTGGGCTTCCTTGGTGGCTCAGATGGTAAAGAATCTGCCTGCAACATGAGAGACCTGGTTCGATCCCTGGGTCGGGAAGATCCTCTGGAGAAGGAAATGGCAACCCACTCCAGTATTCTTGCCTGGAGAATCCCATGGACATAGGAGCCTGGCGGGCTACAGTCCATGGAGTCACAAAGAGTCGGACACAACTGAAGTGACTTAGCACACACATATGGGGCATCAACACTTGGTAGCTGAGGTTGATCTTACTCCACCACGCCCTGTGTTTGTACTTGTTACCGAGAAGGTCCCTATCTGAACCCACACTGATCGAGGAATGAGGCAGGCCTACCCTACTCCAGCCCTATCTGGCCCTGCAGGCAGCAAAAGGACAACTGTGCCATTATCAAATGAAAGGCCAGCAGGGACCCACGGAAACCCTGGATGGTTGGCTTCAGGGTTGGAGCTAAGGGGCCCTCAGATTAGGGGGTGACATAAGCACAATGGTTTTTATGAGTTTGCGGTCCATTTCAGCCCAGCTGATGCCTTTTCCTTTGGGTTTTAAAAAGCTGTTCACAGCCCTGCCATACTTCCTGGTCTGACACAAATGACATTTTCCTTTTCTCTGAGTCCTCTGATATCCAGTGTTTTTTTTGTTTTGTTTTTTTTTTTTTGCATGATCCTCACAACCCTTAGAGCAAAGGCAGGGAGACTAGCCCATTTCACAGATGGAGACACTGAGAACCTTGGGGCACAGAAAGTAAGAAGAGGCCACGGGGCTGGGGCCCAGGTCTTCTCCAGAGCCAGTACTCTTTTTCCCACTGGGTGCAAGGGCTGCCTCCCTCTCTGATCGCTGTTCGCCTCTGTCATCTCACAGTTCTCATGGGAGCCATGAAGCTGAACGAGAGAAGTGTGGCCCACTACGCACTGAGCGACTCTCCCGCAGATCACACAGGCTTCCTGCGCACTTGGGGAGGCGCAGGGATGCCACCCACCCCCAGTGGCGCTGGCCGAAGGTGCTGGTTTGTCCTCAAGGGCAACCTTCTGTTCTCCTTTGAGAGTCGAGAGGGCCGGGCCCCTCTGAGCCTGGTGGTGCTGGAGGGCTGCACGGTGGAGCTGGCTGAGGCTCCCGTGCCTGAAGAGTTTGCCTTCGCCATCCGCTTCGACGCTCCTGGGGTGCGCCCACACCTGCTCGCGGCAGATGGGCCGGCGGCTCAGGAGGCCTGGGTGAAGGCGCTGTCTCGGGCAAGCTTTGGCTACATGCGCCTGGTGGTGCGCGAGCTGGAGAGCCAGTTGCGTGAAGCCCGCCACAGCCTGGACCTGCACCGCCGTTCATCCTGGAAGGCCGTTTCCAGCCGCTGCAAGCCCCAGGCTCCTGACCGCTGGTCTCCTGGCCTGGAGAACGGCCACTCCCTCTCCAGAGATTGCAGCCCAATGGGCTTGGTGGAAGAAGGGGGCAGCCGGCCAGCAGGGCGGGGCTTGGCCGAGTGGGAGCTGCAGGGCCCTGCCAGCCTCCTCCTAGGCAGGGGGCAGAGCCCCGTGTCCCCTGAGACCTCCTGCTTCTCTACCCTGCATGAGTGGTACGGCCGGGAGATTATGGAGCTGAGGCGGGCCTGGCTGCAGAGGGCCCAGGAGAACCCGCCAGAATGCGAGGACCGGGACAGACCCTGATCCTGGGCCCTTCTGGGGGTCCTTGTCCTGCTGGTCAGGACACCAGGGCCAGCGCTTTTTCACGAGTTTAAGGTTTTACAGGTTCATTTTTTTTTTTAAACTGGTTTCTGAAGTTGCTTTTGAGGTGAGCTCTCTCCTTCCTGCTTTTTAGGTTTTTCCCTCAGGGAAAAACCAAGTCCACCTTCATGCCTAGAGGGAACTGAGAAATCATTAACTTTCAACCCATTTATTTCCTGAGGCCCAGAGAGGAGACGTGGCTTGTTCAGCAGTCACAGAGCAAGACTCAGGTCTGCTGACTCTGCACTGGACTGCCCCTCTCTCAGGGGATATTAATGAAGTGGGTAATATCACATGACCACAGGCCACTCCGCCTTCACCTATACAATTCTACAGTTTCCATCATGGGAAATCTTGTGTAAATACCCGAAGTTGCCTGCAGTGTTGGCTTGAGGGACTGACATTGTCAAAAAAGTGGATTTACTGTGTCACAGGGGTTTCTGGGGCCTGGCTCCTCCTGAGTGGTGAGAAGATTGAACATGGGACCCCTATCCTGCAGTGAAGACAGGGCCCTTTGGAGGGAGAGGGCCTTTAGCTAGCAAAGAGGGATTTATCCTGATTAGAAAGTGTTAGGGCCCCTCTTCTTTCCCTGACTGCCCTGTCAACAGATGGTGCTGGTCACTGCCCCAGGAGGGGTCAGTAGCTTTTCTGTTAGCAGAAACTCTGTCCTCGCTGCCAAGTGGGAAGCTGAAGTGGGCTTCCTGGGAAAGTCAGTGACTTTGAATTTCAGTCCTGGGCATTCTAGGAGCTTGGACATAGGATTCCTGGTACCCTGTGATAAACTCTTCTTTCTTGACTGGGCCCCTAAAGGTATTCCTGATCCAGATACCCCTAGGAACTCCTTCAGTCTTTCTTATTACCCAGTGTGTATCTGCCAAGACCCTCTGGTTCCTACTCTCACCAGCATGGTGCCAAGCATCTTCTTTACCAGTTGTTCTCAGAGGCAAAGTGACTGGGTAGACAGGGCCAGAGGCCGATCAGCCTGGCACCCTAAGGATTCTGGTGGCAGCAACTGGATGGAAGATTCAGAGCCTCGTCCAGTATATACAGTCTCTCCCTTCTTAGCTTCTCTCCCTCACTGGGGTCTTATGGGGTCTTATGAGGCCTGACGAAGGGCCAGCTAGGCCTAGAGCCTTCGGCTTCACCTTAAGAGCCTCTTTCAGTCCAGGAGGCTGCGATGCTGCCCAGGGTCCAGGACCTGCTCCGAGGAAGCTAGGTTTGTTGTTTGTTTCCTAAGAGGGGCTACCTTCCTAGCCCTGTACAGGAGTCCCACAGCCTGTGTCTCTTGTTTTATACACAGATATAGGTTTTTTGGTTGTATTTCTTATTGTTACAGTGCTTTTTATACGATTAAAAACACCGTGTTTATTACTCGTATTGGTTCTTTTTTTAGCAGCTTGTGTGAAAGCCCCTATTTCCCCCCTTTCAGATATATTTTCCCCCTTTTCGGATATATTTTCCACTTTGTTGTACATAACATATACCGTGGCATGAAATAAAATTCCAAAATCATTTAAGTAGCACAAGTAATAAATTTGAATTGTATTTTTAAAATGTTCAAAAAAATTAAAGTGGTCTTTCATTTGAGTAACTCTCTGCTCGAACAAGCCTTGGCTGTCCTGGGTGCCAGAACAATAACAGAAATTTGCAAGTTTCACAAGAACTACCCGTCAGATGGTCCCGCCCACCAAGCCTGGAATGAGGCGTGTACCCGGGCCTTGGCGTCATCCTCGTGACGTCACCATGTGCCGCAGCAGGAACTAGGTGCACTGCGCAAGTCTGTGAGCCGAATCGCTCGTCCGATCTTTACAGTCTCGCGAGGCTTAGGGCGGCGTTCTTCCCGAGGGCGTCACTGGGGCCGGGCACTGGGGTTCTGGGACCCGGACTAGGGGCGGAGCTGGGAGATGGCGTCCGGAGCAGCTCGGTGGTTCGCATTGGTACGCGTCGGATCTGGGGCTTCCCGGAGCGGGCTGATCCTGAGGAAAGGTGGTGATGTTTCTGCCGGACGGAGCTGCTCAGGTCGGAGTCTGGTACCGTCGAGGTCAGTCATCGTTACTCGCAGCGGCGCCATTTTGCCCAAACCGGTGAAAGTGAGTGTCTGCCTGGAGGCGGGGCGAAGGGGCCGAGGCCAATCATTGTGGGGAGTGTGTGCAGGTTGACGCTGATTGACAGGTGCAAAGGCCAGTCGAATGACTGCCTCAGACCGGAAGCCGGATCAAGGACAAAGTTTTGCGCTGATGGACTGCTAGTTTTGACAAATGGGAGGAAGTGGCCGGTTTAGTTAGTGGTCGTTTTTGAGCTGGGTACAGGGAGATAGAAGATGGGGGTCGAGAGCGGAAAAAGACGGAACTTTGCACTAGCTCATCCAGAGGAGCGCAGTGCCCTGGCTGTTTGGAGCCAAAGGAGTCTGCTTTATGCATAAAGTATAGACAAGTCTTGTAACTTTAACTACTTCGTAGTTGATGGGATGAAAAACGCGTTGGTAAATAAACGGTTCGTGGGACAGACCTTATCTTTTTGAGTTTGGACCTAGTTTTTAATTCATGTAACTAGGTGTGCAGGGAATTATTACAATCAGTGTTTTTACAAATGAAAAATGAGGGGCCAGAGTAGTGAAGCCAGTATGCAAAGCTAGCAGCTGAGTTAGGTTCTGGAATTCAGATTTCCTGTTGATAAAGCCCCCACCAGGTCCTGTTTTCCCACTACTGAGTGTTATTACATGCCCTCAGTACCCTTGGAGTTTTTTCAGTAAAATAAGAACAATCTCTTATACAGAATAAGTTTGCTTTTTTTTTTTTATTCCAGGGCTGTGCGAGAGTTACAAAACAAAAACAAATTCTTTTAAAGCTAGTGTGGCCAACGCAAGCTTACACAGAGTGAATTCAAGCCTGTTTCACAGCAAGAAACCAGGCCCATGTTAGGAAAGAGCAGCCTTTATAAAGAGGCACGACTGAAAAAAAACATTTTTTGGGGGGGGGGAACCCCTGTAGAGAAATAATGAGAGGAAATGTTGAGATTTTATTGAAACTTCTCAAGTCTATTTAAATAGCTAGTCTTTTACTATAAAGACATACTGTTTTCAAAATACACGTTTCTAAAATGTAATATAGTGAAGATAAATTGGTCAGGCACCAGGGAACCAGTTAAAGAACTCTACAGAATATCTCCACTGTACATGTTCATAATTTTGTAATCTGCTTGCATGTATTTAGTGACTTACTGAAGCAAAACTGAACTCTTATTTCCCTAGTCCACCTCCTAGTACCTTCTCACCTGTTTAAAAGCATCTGCAAGTAACTAATAGCTCTTGCCCTAATTTGGACACAACTGAAGTGACTTAGCAGCAGTAGCCCTAATTTTTAGATGTAAGAGTGCCTTGTATTTTTCTTTCTGATATACAGTTTGGTGGCCATAGAATCACTCTCTCTTCTTCTAATCATTTTTCTTGCTCCAAATTTTTTCAAGGACTTTAAAATCAGGTTGCTTATGATGAATCTGAGGTCCACAGGAGGGAATGCCCCTGAGAGGGCCAGGCCTGTGGTCTTGCTAGAGTGGGCACTGGAGCTCACAGCCACCACTCTGACCCTCTGCAGATGTCCTTTGGCCTTCTCCGCGTGTTCTCCATTGTGATCCCCTTTCTCTATGTCGGGACACTCATTAGCAAGAACTTTGCTGCTCTACTTGAGGAACATGACATTTTTGTTCCAGAGGACGACGATGATGATGACTAACAGGTAAGATTTGCTTCTCACCCCTACATGGACCAGGAGCGGGAAGTGGGGTGGAGCCTCTGAACTGTGATGTGATTTGAACACTCCACGCAGGAGCACGGACTTTTAATGAATTTACACACTTGCTGACTAACATCTTTTACGTCACCTTTTCTCTATGTTGGATGAAGGAAACTATCTTATTGACTTACAAAATTCACTGGGGTCTCTTCCAACCAGGTTGAATCCCAACCACCCTTTTCTGTTTCCCTTTTGAAAGTGTTAGTCGCTCAGTCGTGTCTGATTTCTTTGTGGCCCTGATGAACTGTAGCCCTTGAGGCTGCTCTGTCCGTGGAATTCTCCAGGCAAGAATACTGAAGTGGGTAGCCATTCCCTTCTCCACGGGGTCTTCGTTCTGACCCAGGGATTGAATGCTGGTCTCCTGCATTGCAGGCAGATTCTTTGCGGTTTAAGCCTCTAGGGAAGCCCAATTGCCCCTTATGTACCTTCAATTCTCTCAACCCACGAACTTTGTAGACAATTTAATATGCCTTACATGCCTACCACAGCTTCATTTCATCAGCTCCACACTGAAATTTAGAAACTACAAGCCCTTATCAGTGCGCTCTGGTTACCAGTGCAGTCTGTGCACAGGCACTGCAGCCTGGCTCACACACTGCTCACACACGTTTCTCCAGGGCCAGTTCCATTCAGCTTCCTTGTGTTGACTGCCCTAATAAGTGCTGATTGGCTGTATTACTTCTGTAAATAAGAACCCTCCTGACTCTTTGGTCTGGTTTTTAAGGCTTGTCATGATCTGGTGACACCTGTAATTCCAGCCTCATCTTCCATATTCCCAACCACATACCTATCCCCAGTTATTCACTATGTTTTGAATTCCCCACTCTTACCCACTCCCAGGCAGTAGCCCATTATCCCTCCCGACTGAAAGACTGTTTCGCACTTGTGCTTATTTCTACCAGTTCTTCATTATCTTTGATGAAGTCCTTCCTCATTCCTCCACTGGAAAGTGACTGCTGTGTCCCCTTACTGATCAGTACCACTTGTGGTATTCAGTATTATACGCTTAAGATATACCCTAAACTCTACTCGACTACATTCTTGCTGCAGGAAACATGTGTTTTTTTTTTTCTTTTTTTTTTTAAAATATCTTTGGGGCCCCAGTGCCCGGTCTCTGGTGAATGTAAATTTATGAATGAATAATTGAATGTACTCAAAACCGCCTTTCTCCTGCCATGTTTGGTAGAACCTCTGTGGAATTCTCTCTCAGTATATGGTTAGAGGTCTGTTCTGTCAGCCAGTTCATTGCTGCTTTCCTTTTTTGCAGGGCATGGAGAAAGGACAGAAAAGAGAAAGCCCTAACTTAAGAAATGGTGATGCTTGCAGCCTCTCCTCCTTTCCCGTCAGTAGATGGGCCCGGGGAAAGCCCTCAGCCTCCCAACTCCAGTGAAGACCCCTACACGGTCTGTGACCACAGCCCAAATCCCCAGGCTCTGGGAGGTTCCCGGAGATGTGCTGTCCACTGAGCATAATCAGGTTATGAAAAACCATAATAAACATCAACTCTGTGTCACTGAATGATGGCTGAAGTCTCTCAAGTCGGCTGTAGCTGCAGTTTCTTGTCCCTGCTGTCCTGTCTCTATCCACTGAACAAATAGGTCTTTGATTTACAACCCAGGGTCTTCAGGCCCCTGTGGAACCACAAAGTAATTTGGGGAACCTGGGACAAATTTTCATTATTTATAAAAGCCTAACAGTTGCACAGGCTAACTAAGGGCTGAAACTTTTGTGCTGAGTAACACTGGCTAGCTATCACTGCAATCAGAAACAGCTTTGAGTGTTTAAATAAGTCCTTGAGAAATAGCACTTTTTAGCAAAACATGGGTTCCTTAGCTGAAAAAATAATAAAGGGGCTGTTGGTGCTGAAAAATTTGGGACTCCTCAGGGTGATTGTATCTATAGATACTAAAGCCCCTTTTCCAGCATTTAGACTGTCCAGGGATGGACCAGAGACCACCACCATCCAGAGCCAACAGTTCTTTAAGTGGGGTCAAAATGTTTTCCTGTCACTTGAGCTACACCTCAGTTTACAAAGGGAATATTTCTGTTCCGTGTGTGCACTGAACAGCTGTGTCTCTAGCAGAATGCCTGAGAAGGAAGTTAACTTCATTTTAAGGACCAGCACTGTTGCAAGTAGAGGGCTAGGCTGCTGAGCAGACATTTTCTTCAGAACCCAGGGAAAGAGCCCAGCTCGTAAGCTCCACCTCTCAGCCTCTTAGTGCTGCTCTAACCCTTTCCAATAGTAAGAGCTGGTTAATTTTGGATAATCTGTGCCATTATACCAAGATATCCACTCCTGGTGGCTATAGAAACAGCCAAGTTAAGGAAGCCATCTAGCACATACCCAGAATGACAGTTTCTGAGCAGATGGCCTCTTCCTTCTGTTTACCGACATGCAAGGCTCGGAGAAAAGAGAATCTAATTTACTGGAAACACCACACTTCAGGAAAAGGGAAAGAACAGGTGGTGTGTATACCGGACCCAACTTGTTCAGACAAAAAGTGAGAGACTACAGAAGTAGAGCTTCCCACTGGGGAACCAATGGAATATCTTGAAATGACTGTCATATGTTGAGTTTATTTTTGCTTTAAAATATTTAAATATCAACATGCACCTTTTCCATTGAGTGATTTCACGGGTCGTGCCCAACATAGAACTTGGACAGGAAATCCTTTGGCCTTGGTGCTTCTGTTTCATGGAAAAAACGCATAACATGTGTCCGCTGCTTCCACACTTTAATAGTTTCTTCCAGCTCCATCTTTCCCTGTACAAGTGAGGGGACAGGGCTCAGTCAAGGGTGGCTGGGTGGAAGGACTACAACACTGAAGGCCAGAGTTCGATCATCTCTCGCACTGACTTGTTGAGTGACCTTGGGCAAGTAATATGCCCTGTCCAGACCATAGTTTCTGCATCTGGAAAATGAGGTGGTGGACTAAATAATCTCTGAGGCCTGTCAAATATATATATTTTTAACCCTCTGGCTGACTGGTTCCAAGGGGATAACTTTTGGTCACCAGGCCTCTGCCCCATGACTGCCTAACCTGACTGGCTTAACATGTACCATTCTTTCCACGGTACTTACTGGCCCGTGCTGAAGTTGCCACTGATGCTAGTGAGACAGACCAGAGAGAATCAAGCCCAGGATCTGACTCCACTCAGCCAACTGGCCTGCTCTTCTGGCTGTAAACTGGCAACGTGGTGAAGCGGTAACTTGCATGGATGAGGTTCAAGAAGAATTCAAACTTCCCTCTTTCTTTTTTTAGTTTTAAAATGCAAGCCCCAGTGAATTTTCCCTTGAATAATCTTATAATCTATTTAACCAGGTGAGAACCTCCAATCAATTGTTCCTTTGAAACACTAGGTAACAGTTGCTGACCCAGTTGTTGCTTTTAAATTTGGGTGATAAAATATTCATCTGGAAAGCTCTGGACAAGTTGGCTTCTCTTTTAAATCAGTCAGGGAGAGTCAGTTACCTTAATTACCAGAAGATCAACCACCCTGGGGTCTGTGACGTGCGCATTCTTCTTAAACATTTCCCGGACTTTATCCCGTCCCTGTTTCACAGAGATGTCTAGCTGGAATAAATGCACTAGAGAGAAAACATGATTCAGGATAGAGATGGTTAAAATGTGTTTTTTAAAAATTGAGTCAATGTCTACTCACTGAATACATAGGTTGCCCATTCACTCCATTCACCAAATATTAGCCTGAGTCTAAGCTTGGTACTTGAGGATGTGAAGAAGCGTGAGATGTGGTACTGTCTCAAGAGCTTACATTTTGTTTGGGGAAACAAGCCCACTGCATTTGAAGAGGCAGCACAGCACAGCTCAAGAGTACGAATAACCTGGGTTCAAATCCCAGCTTTGTCGTCTATCAGCTATATGATTCTGTATACGTTAAACTTCTCTATGCCTGAGGGTATTTATTTACTGGTGAAACGAGGAGGAGAGCAGCACATACTAACTCCAGAGCTGCTGTGAGGATTCTATGAGAGAACGAAAGATGCTTAGGCCAGTGCCTGGCATGGAATAAGCTCTTAATAAATGTCAGCATTATTATTACACAGAACAACCGGCAAGAGGTGCAGGGCTGACATTAACGTACAACCATACGGTACAGGTTTGTGTACCATGCAAACTTAAGAGCTGAGGGAGGCTGCTGAGTGTGCAGATAGGGAAAGGTGTCAATCCAGCAGGCAGTACTACCATATTAGGTTTACCGGGGGGAAGGAGAGGGAAATTTAAGATCTAACAGCTCCTGCTTTCTAGGTCTTAAATCCACCAGTGCAAACACTGCAAAAATCACAATATTCAGTAGTCCCTGATTAAGTGCTAAAACAGTGGGACAGACTCAGTGACCTGGGAGTTCGACAAAACATACATGTGTCTTTGAAAATTAGGGTTCAGTCATTTCATTCTCATCTCTGGCAGTTGGCCTTCAGTGGATCTGCTGATGACAAGGACATGAACGGAGTCTTGTATGGTAGGTAGATGGGATAAGGAGGGAAGAAAGGGGCACATAAGGTAAGCAGAAAGCATAACCAGGCTCATAGACTAGAATGAGCACTGTGGTTGAGGAGACCAGTGGGCTCATTGGTGAGAATACCCTGCGGTGTGGCCATTCCTGTGACAGGTCCACTCTAGTGTATGGAGCTATCACAGCCAGCTCTGAAAACCATGAGGGCCATCTCATGACTGAATTAACCAACAACAAAGCATGAATCTTTAATTATACAGGTAGCCTAGTGACAGCAATAGAAAAATAAAGCTCTGCTGAGGGAAAGAGCATGCCAGGCTGACTCAACCAAAGAATAAGCAACAGCAGAATCTAACAGGAGAAACTGCACCCCAGCTTTACAGGAAAGTGTTAAAGAACTCGTCTCCAGTGGAGTGCTGGAGCAGCCTGCCATGATGAGCCAATTATACACGGCTCTTCCCAAATGTGCCATCAGCGACTTCACTGAGAGCCTAAAATCAACCGTGGGGGCAGTATTCACGGCACTGAAAATGGCAGGGGCTTTCCTGGTGGTCCAGTGGTTAAGAATCCGCCTGCCAATGAAGGGGACACAGGTTTGATCCCTGCTTTGGGGAGATCCCACACACTGGGGCAACTAAGCCCTTGCGCCACGACTACTGAGCCCACGCGCTGAGAGCGCGAGCTTCTGGGGTAAGAGAAGCCCGGGCACCACAACGAAGAGCAGCCTCAGCCCTCTCACGGCAACTAGAGAACATCTGAGCAGCCACAAAGACCCAGCACAGCCAAAAACACACCACAGTATCACATTAGGAATTTTAGAAAAGAGCCAACAAAGAGACAATAAGACAGAGACACAAATTATTGCAAACCAACATGGATCCTCAACGTTGGAATCTTACCACTAGAGCGCTGTGGGGACTTGCCTGAAGTCAGACAACTGATCCCTGGCAAACAGAGGCCAAGAATCCAGGCTGTTGGTTCTTTAATTTACATTTAAGGAAAGGAGTATGAGGAATCTTCCCCCTGCTATCAGTGCTTACCTTTCCTACATTTTCATACTATAATTTGGTCCAACCTCAGGAGAAAAAAACCAAGGTGCCTCTATGCACACGAGCAGAGCTGGTGTCTACCTGACTCCCATTACCCAAGGTCTCCCGAACCACACACCAGTGCACTGGGCGTATGAATCTTCTCAGGAAAATGTTCACAGGCACAAAGGCAAAGTTTTGCTTACAATGTTGTTCAAAGATCCCTGAAAGTCCCTCCTCTCAGGTTAAGAATCCTTGTTTCTAAAGAGACAAATCCCATAGCTTTGTCCCAGCTGTCCTCCTCCTATCCCACCCCCCTGAACACACCCCTTCACCCTTGAGACAGCCTACAGGAAGGCAATCAGGAACAGCTAAGCAACAGTCTGCTGATCTGTTCTTTGGTCTAAATCGGTGGCTGTCAAACCTGTGATGATTCTGCCCACCAGAACACTTGGCAACATCTGGAGGCATTTTTGACGGTCAGAGTGACGGGGAAGAGTGCTAATGGCATCACTGGATGGACGACAGGCATGTTGCTAAACATCCTACAAGGCACAGGGCAGTCTCCACAACAAGGAACTATCCAGCACAGATGTTGCTGTCGAGAAGTCCTGGTGTAAACCAATTCCAACTGTTCCTTCTCAACTCACAGATTCCTGGCTTACTCTTTGAATCCTGAATATTTTAATTTCAATTTTAAAAGCATCTGCAAGGCTCAAGAGGAAGATATGAAAGTGCCCCTTCTGGATGAAGGTGACTTCCACGGTGCGTGTTTTCCTCAAGTTACTGTTAAGGCTTTTCTGAGTCAGGAAGGCTCGACACATGAGGAAGGATGACACTGGTACGGTTCTCAGTCATTTGCTCCAATTCATTTTGGGAGCATTTATACCAAGTGCCAGGAGATCCTGAGATGGGAAGGCAGCATGGTGTGATGAAAAAGAGCATGGGATCTGGGGTCAAATGAGCTGGGTAAGGTCTCCACACCATCATGAACAATGACCTTGGCTGGGGTACAACTCCTCAGTCTGCTTCCTCATCTAAAACAGGAGAGAAAATAACCTCTGACCTAACTCCTTTACAGGAATGTGGTAAAAATCAAGTGACAACATCTTATTAACAGTAACGCACTGATACAGATGTTAACTATTACAAACTTCAGCACTTATTTCCCACGCCTCTATTATGTTTGGGGTTTTAATGATCTGGTTATATGCCTATTTTCCTGAGTAGACCATAAGACTCTTGAAGGCAGGGTTGTGTTTTAATCACTTTTCTATCTCTCTAGGCATCTAGTACTGACCCTGTAGTACAAGAAGTACCCAGTAAAATGGAAATTAAATGAATAGTTTCTATAGAAAGTCTCCTGTCACACTGTAACCAGCAAGCAGCATGTATTATTTTTTTCAAAGGAGGGAATCTGGGGAGGTTTTGTTCTCTGCTTCCATGCAGAGGCAACCACCCAGGCAAATGGCAGTCTGTTCCAAGTGTGCAGCATAACTGGGCCCTGTGAGATTTCAGGGAAAACTACAGCAGGAGCTGAGCAGACAATCAGGGTCTGATGGTGTGATGTGAGACAAGCTTATGTGCCTCAGTTTTCTCATCTGTAAGACAGGGAAACAACTGGAACCCACACCACAGTGAGGCATCTGGCACAGTGTTGGGCCACATGTTTGCATTTCAATGAATGCTGTGTGTGTGTTCCATTCCTCAGTCGTGTCCGAATCTCTGCAGCCCCACAGACTGCAGCCCACCAGGATCCTCTGTCCACAGAATTCCCCGAGCAAAAATACTGCAGTGAGCTGCCATTTCCTCTTCCAGGGTATCTTTCCAGCCCAGGGACTGAACCCGGGTTTCCTGCATCTCCCTGCATTGGTAGGTGGATTCTTTACCACTAAGCCACCTGGGAAGCCCCAATGAATGTTGCTCAGGCAAGTGTGTACACTGGTGTCACAATATCCGTCACTGGGGATTTCAGCTGAGGATCCGAACTAAGGATTGGGAATAAGTAAAAGTATAGTACTGCTAATAACTAACATAATAATTACTATGCAATTGTGCAAATCTCAAAAACAACAGCATGATCTTGGTTCATTTCTAAGGCAAACCATTCAATACCACAGTAATCCAAGTCTATGTCCCAACCACTAATGCCAAAGAAGCTGACATTGAACGGTTCTGTGAAGACCTACAAGACCTTCTAGAACTAACACCACAGGCAAGTTTGGCCTTGGAGTACAAAATGAAGCAGGGCAAAGACTAACAGAGTTTTGTCAAGAGAATGCACTGGCCATAGCAAACACTCTCTTCCAACAACACAAGAGGCAACTCTACACATGAAGCACAAGCTGGAATCAAGATTGCAGGGAGAAATATCAATAACCTCAGATATGCAGATGACACTACCTTTATGGCAGAAAGTGAAGAAGAACCTAACAGCCTCTTGATGAAAATGAAAGAGGAGTGTGAAAAAGCTGGCTTAAAACTCAACATTCAGAAAACTAAGATCATGACATCTGGTCCCATCACTTCATGGCAAATAGATGGGGAAACAATGGAAACAGTGACAGACTTTATTTTTGGGGACTCCAAAATCACTGCAGGTGGTGACTGCAGCCATGAAATTAAGATGCTTGCTCCTTGGAAGGAAAGCTATGATCAACCTAGATGGCATATTAAAAAGCAGAGACATTACTTTGCCAACAAAGGTCCATCTAGTCAAAGCTATGGTTTTTCCAGTAGTCATGTATGGATGTGAGAGTTGGACTATAAAGAAAGCTGAGCGCCAAAGAATTGATGCTTTTGAACTGTGGTGTTAGAGAAGACTCTTGAAAGTCCCTTGGACTGCAGAGATCCAACCAGTCTATCTTAAAGGAAATTAGTCCTGAATATTCATTGGAAGGACTGATGCTGAAGCTGAAACTCCAGCACTTTGGCTACATGATGCAAAGAACTGACTCATCTGAAAAGACCCTGATGCTGGGAAAGATGAAGGCAAGAGGAGAAGGGGACGACAGAGGATGAGATGGTTGGGTGGCATCACTGACTCAATGGACATGAGTTTGAGTAAGCTCCGGGAGTTGGTGATGGACAGGGAGGCCTGGCGTGCTGCAGTCCATGGGATTGCAAAGAGTTGAACACGACTGAGCGACTGAACCAAACATGATAATTACAATGATGAATGTTAGATATGAATGAATGTTAGTTATTATCAATACTTTTACTTATTTCCAATCCTTAGTTTGGATCCTCAGCTGAAATCCTGTGATGGATATCATGACACTGGTGTACACAGGCCTGAGCAAACAAGCTACAGATCACTGATCCTCCCCACAAAGGTGTTGCACCCCCTAGACCCCCCCCTACCTGGAATCTCCCCTGCTCTACAGGCTCCTGTAATCCCCTGGTTTCTCTTCCTCTTCTCAGGACCCTCCTGACTCTGGGCTTATCTTCTCAAACAGTATTTGAGGGACAGTCTTGGAGGGTGTTGGTTCTGAATTAACTCAATATCTGGGCTCTAGCCTTAGTTCAGTCATTGATGTTTAACCCTTTGCTAAGTATTCTTCCTGTCATCTGGGTCTTGTCCCCCACCTCCTGTCCTCCCTGCAACAAGAAAACATTCTTGGGCACCCGCGAAGTGTTCTGCCAGGCAAACCTATTTTTAAACATCTGCATTTGAATACACACACCACCTCACACACTTGCTACTATCACTGCCCTACACTTTTCCATCTGTTCCCTGGACGTCTGTGAATTTGTAGTCCCCAGGGAACACTCAGGTTTCTCCCTTCCTTGTATCCTCTGGGTTTCAAGTTTAAATTCTGATCCTTGATAACCTCTTAAAAAGTCAACCTGAGGGCAGTGACACTGTGGCGCAGACACAGCTCTCATTCAGTAAAGAGCTGGGTTCTGCATGGACAGTAAGCCCTATAAATAACAGTAACAATAACAAGCAGCAAGAGGAGCAGCATTTAATGAGTGTCTAAAATGTCAGACCCTATGCCAAGTACTTTAGATGCATAAACTTAATTTAACAGAGCAACTCTCTGAAGGTACTATTATTATCATTCTACAAATGAGGAAACTGAGGCATAGTGAGATGAAATAGCTTGTTCATGGTAACACAGCTAGTAAGGGCCAGGGTTTGGAGGCAAGTCCATGTAACTACATTCTACTGCTTCTCACACACAGGTACAGAAGTGGCAGCCCTGAGAGCTATGGTGCTCAGGTCACTTAAAAACACAACTCCTCTCAGACCACCAATGGTGGCCTCCATTAAAACACACTTCTCCAGGGGATCTTTCCAACCCAGGGATCGAACCCTGGTCTCCAGCATTGCAGGCAGATTCTTTACCGACAGAGCTAACAGGGAAGCCCTAAAACAAACTAACTCAGAATAGACAATCACAAAATATCGACAGTGCCTGATATTTGTACTGCCCTTGACAGTTTGTCCAACTTTTCTTTGGTCAGGGACACTGGGCAGCAGCACTGATGGAGATGCCAAGACAAAATCTCTCTGAACCCAGGGAACTTATGTTTTAATCCTTCAGGAGGACAGACTGGCTCTCTGACATCTAAATGAAAACAGGGGTTCTGGTGGGGGCAGGGAAAGGAGTTCCTAAGGAATATTAGGGGCCTGTGGAGCTAGGTAAAAAGACCTGGGAGACTGCAGGAGGCCACCTCACCCGGAGGAACTGGAAAAGGCACCACCGTCTTACTGGATGACCTTGGGAAACTCACTTTCCTTCCCCGGTACTGCTTCCCTGCGGTGGATGTGGGAACCAGGTGATCGCTGAAACCCCACAACCCCTTATCTATATAACCTAATGAAGAGTCTGTAAATACATTCAGGAACTCGAGTTGGGTTCCAGATCCACCAGGGGCGGGCCCTCGGCCTTGCACAGATCACTTCGACTCTAAGTGCCTCAAATGCTTCATCTACAAAACGAAGTGTGTCACTGACAGTCCCGGCTCTCCCTCCCAAGGGTTCAGGAAGAATTAGGGGGCCAAACAGCGAGGGCGCCTAGAAGCGCGGCTCCGACGCACAGCACGGCTGGTCTGACCCGCGCGCCGCCGCCAGGTCAGGTCCACCAAGGCTCGTGTGACCCTACTCGCCTGAAGCGCTCGGAATCACCTCTGCTCAAGTTGGTGACCTCAAATCGGCCCGGCAGAAACGGGAGGCCGGGACGGCTGCGACCTTGGGCGACTGCCTCCCGGGCCCCGCGTGAGCCGCTGCCTCTCACCAGTGTTCGGCACTTCCCGATACCAGGCTCGGTAGAGCTCGCGCACCCTCCGCTTGGCCTCGTTCATGTCTCGACTGAAAATGGGCTTCACCGAGGTGCTGACCGCAACAGCAGCCTGGCGGAGTCCGCTCGCCGCCATCTTGCTGAGAAAATCACTTCCCAACTCCACCCCGTTTCGACCTGTAAGTGCGGCCTAGGGACGAATCTTTTTTCTCATTGGCTAGAACTTAAAGTCCCGCCCCTAAATGCCACTGGTGGGCGGGAGAACGGCTACGGGGCTCTCTGATTGGCTGAGAAGCCACGCTCTGGGAGGAGATAGGCAGGTGTAGGCTGCGCATGCTCACCTGCGGAATCGAAAGGTCGACCGTTGGGCATCCTAACTGTCGCCGGACCGCGCTGACAGGGGGCGCTCGGGCCCAGACTGGCGGCAGTGCAGCGAGCTGGCCCCCTGGCTGCTGACTGGCGTCCACTGCATCACGCCCGCGAGCCGCCCCGGCCGCTGGTGTGGTAACGTACAGCGGCCGCACTTCTTGGAGCTTCTATATCAGCTCCCTGCGCTCGGGTCACGGGCCCTCCTGAGGTAGATGATGGCGCCTGGGCTGCGGTGTCGTCGGCCTGGCACCTCTGCAGATTTTCTGCAACTGTTTTTCCCCACCTTTAAACCAACTCTTTCGAAGCTCGGTATAGATGTGCACGCGCTCCCCTGGCCTTGAGTTTCTCTGCGCTTCTCCACAGCCCAGGGAGGTAGTTTATATCATCTGTTCCCATTTTAGACGGGGGAGTTTTCATCCCAAACTGTGAAAACAACCCAGAATTTTGGACCTGGAAGGAACCTTGGGTCGTCCATTCTGGGTACCTCTCTTTTTCCTGGTGTTTTTCTTTTATTTATTTAGTTTTCAGCCACGCCTGCGTGGCATGTGGGGTCTCAGTTCCCCTAAGGATTGAACCCATGGCCCCTGTAGTGGAAGCTTAGAGTCTTAACCTCTAGACTGCTGGGGAAGCCCCTTTCCTGACATTTATCTACTGAGGCTATCTATTTCTGAACGTCAGTGGAGGGAGCCTGGAGGGGTAAAAGGAAAAATAACAGCTAACATGTCAGGTGGTGGGTAGATATTGTTAGTCTTCCTTCATCTCTTAGATCAGGTTCTGTTAGCACCCCCATGTTACAGGTGAGGAAACTGAGATGTTGCAGCTTGCCATTTTAGGCTCCGCCCCAGACTGACTGCTGTCTGGAGTCTATGTGTCTCTTCTGAAAATGCAGTTGACGAACACCTTATGAGTGTTAGGGAAGGAGAAGTCAGGGCTGAACTTAGCTTTGAGACCTCAGCCACCATAGGGGATGGACCTGCATCTAGCCCAGTCTTTCCCATTTTAAAGGGTAAAAAATTGATTTTTCCCCTTGTGTTATTTTTTTAATGTACATTTAAATGAGTCGTGCATTTAAAGAAAGCATGTAACATGTGCAAGTTATAAGGGATACCAGAATGGGAACTTCTGAACTTTAGTACCCGCCTCAAAAAGTTGTAGTACAGTTAAGATTTATGTAAAGTGTTGAGTTCAGTTGCTCAGTCATGTCCAACTCTTTGCCACCCCATGGACTGCAGCAGGCCAGGCCTCCCTGTCCATCACCAACTCCCAGAGCTTGCATTTAAAGTGTACGGTGCTCCTATTAACCACTGTGTTACATTTTTCAGGCACATTAACTTGTTGAAGCTTCCCGACACACCTGTGAGATAATGCTGTTATACCCACTTTACAGATGAAAAAATTGAAACACAGTGGCCAAGTTACTTGACAATATTGGATTAAGACCCAGGTAGCTGACCCAGACCTAGATGACCTCTAGGAGTAACCACTATCATGAATTTAGTGTTTAATATTCTTATCCATTGAAAAAAAGTAAGGTCTGGACTTCCGTGGTGGCCCAGTGGTTAAGAATCTGCTTGCAAATGGATTTGATCCCTCCAGGCATCTGGGGCTTCCCTTGTGGCTCAGCTGGTAAAGAATCCACCTGCAATGCAGGAGACCTGGATTCGATCCCTGGGTTGGGAAGATGCCCTGGAGAAGGGAATGGCCACCCACTCCAGTATTCTGGCCTGAAGAATTCCATGGACTCTATAGTCCATGAGGTCGCAAAGAGTCAGACACGATTGAGCGACTTTCACTTTTCTTTCTAGGCGTCTAAGCCACTGTGCCCTGGCACCTGCAAGCCACAACTACTAAAGCCTGTGTGGCTGGAGCCTGTGCTCTGCTGCAGGAGAAGCCGGTGCTATGAGAAGCCCATGTTCCACAGCGGGAGGAACGCTCACATGCAGCAATGAAGACCCAATGCAGTCAGAAATAAATAAAGTCTGTGAGGAAAAAAGTCTCTAAAACAGCTCACAACTAGAGGGAGAATATTTGCAAATCATCTGTTCCATAAGGGACTTCTGTCTAAGATATATCTATCTAAGATATCTATCTAAGATAAAACTCAATTTTTTAAAAGGCCCTATTTGAAAATAGGCAAAGGTGACACCACCAAATGCTAATGAGAATGCCGAGCTGCAGGAACTCGCATTGTTGGTGAGAATACAGCCAGTGTAGGAAACAGCTTGGCAGTTTCTTACAAAACTAGCATACTCTGGACTTGCCGGTGGTCCAGTGGTTAAGACTTCAATCTTTCACTTCACGGGGCTCAGATTTGATCACTTGTTGGGAAAGTTTAAGATCCCATGTGCCATGAGGCATGGCCCAAACACAAAAAACTAGCATACTTTTACTATACAGGTCAGTAATCACACACCTTGGTATTTACCCAAATGAGTTGAAAAATTATGTCCACACAAAAACCTGCACATGGATATTTATAACAGCTTTATTTATCCTTGTCAAAACCTGGAAGCCACGAAGAAGTCCTTCAGGAGGTGAATGAATGAATAAACCGTGATGCATTCCGACAATGGGGTATTCTGGAGCAGTGGAAAGAAATGAGCCATGAGAAGATGTGGAGCAAACTTTAATGGATATTACTAAGTGCAAGAAGTCAATCTGAAAAGGCTACCTTTATGATTCTAGCTATATGACACACTGGGAAAAGGCAAAACCATGGAGGCGAAAGATCATTGTCAGGGACCAGGGTGGAGGGAGAGAGGAATAAGTGCAGTGCAGAGAGATTTTAGGGCAGTGAACCCATTCTGAATGATACTGTAATGGTGAATACATGTCATTATATATTTGTCCAAATCCACAGATTGAACCCTAATGTAAACTATGGACTTTGAATGGCAATGATGTGTCAATATAGGTTCTTCCATTTTAACAAGTTGTACCACTTTGATGGGGGATGTTGATAGGGAAGCTGGAGTGGGCATGGCAAGGGGTATGTGGAAACTGTACTCCAATCAGTTTTTCTGTGAACCTAAAACTTCTCTTTAAAAAGTCTTTTTTTTTTTTTAATGGGCAAAGGCTTTGAGTAGCTGTTTTTCCCAAGAAGTTATACAAATGAGCAGTAATGTAAATGCATATTAAAAAAGCAGAGACATTACTTTGCCAACAAAGGTCCATCTAGTCAAGGCTATACTTTTTCCAGTAGTCATGTATGAGTGTGAGAGTTGGACTATAAAGAAAGCTGAGCACTGAAGAATTGATGCTTTTGAACTGTGGTGTTGGAGAAGACTCTTGAGAGTCCCTTGGACTGCAAGGAGATCCAACCAGTCCATCCTAAAGGAAATCAGTGCTGAATATTCATTGGAAGGACTGATGCTGAAGCTGAAACTCCGATACTTTGGCCACCTGATGCGAAGAGCTGGCTCATTTGTAAAGACCCTGATGCTGGGAAAGATTGATGGCAGGAGGAGAAAGAGACGACAGAGGATGAGATGGTTGGATGGCATCACCAACTCAATGGGCATGAGTTTGAGTAGACTCCGGGAGTTGGTGATGACAGGGAGGCCTGGCATGCTGCAGTCCATGAGATCGCAAAGAGTTGGACGTGACTGAGTGACTGAACTGAACTGACTGAAATGCAAATCAAAACCGTAAGAAGATACCATTTCTCACCCACTAGAATACATTTTTTTGGTGGGGGATATTGATACAGGTTAAGGAATAACTGCTTTTCTGTGCCCCCTCTTGCCACTGTCGTTGGTGCCCAGTGAATGTTAAATTGGGTTGAATTGAAGACTTCAGCATGTGAGAGACTTGTGCTGTTGGTAGTGGAGTGAGAACTAGATCCCAGAACTTTTTACCTGGGCCTGATGTTTTTCTTTTACTCCATCCCTCCTCTCACCCTCCTCTCACCTCCTCTCACCTCTTGGCCTTGATTTGAAGCTCCTCTAAGATGGTTGCGTCCTTCTTCCTGAGACCACCTTACAATCAGAGATTCAAGCAGAGGGTCTTTTTGTTTCCAGTGGTATATGAGGTCATGGGGTCCCCAGATGAAAGCAAAAAAAGGGGAGGTATCAGGAACTGATTCATGAGGGCTGAGATACACAGCCACACATTGCCTTAGACCCTTTTCTTTCTAGCCTCTATAGGGACCGGAAAGCAGCTTTTATAATTTTCTAGCATGCACTGTGTTATATACTACACATTTTATTTATTTTTGGCTGTGCTGGGTCTTCGTTGCTCCATGGACTTTTCTCTAATTGTAGCGAGCAGGGGCTACTCTCCAGTTGTAGTGCACAGTTTTTTCATTGTTTTGGCTTCTCGTTGCTGAGCACAGGCTCTAGGGTGTGTGGGCTTCAGTAGGTCCTCCTTATGGGCCCTAGATAGCAGAGGCTCAGTAGTTGTAGCGCACTAATGGGCTTAGTTGCTCCGAGACATGTGGAATCTTTCCAGACCAGGGATTGAACCCACGTCCTTTGCATTGGCAGGAAGATTCTTAACCACTGGACCACCAGGGAAGTCCCATACTGCACATTTTAAATTTATATGATAATTATAGATTCATATGTATAGAAATAACAGAGAAAGGTTAGATGCACATTTTACTCAGTTTTTCCCAATGGTAACATACTGTAAAACAATAGTACCATATCACAAGGATACTGACACTGATATAATAAAGATACAGAACATTTTCCTCACTACAAGGATCCCTCGTGTTACCCTTTTCCTCTGTTGTTCAGTTGCTGTCATGTCCAACTTTTTTGTGGC